GTCCATGACTTAGTTAGTCAAAAGGAAATCTTAGCCTATAGGATTAAATGTAGAAGATCATCAAGAACTGGATATAAATAAATAAATAGTTGATCAGGATATTCGATAATGATATTTGTTGATTCTTCTGATATTGTGTGATTATATATTGATGGTGCTAGTCTACGAGTTAGTTCTAGTGTTACATACTTCCACTCTCCTTATATTTTTACAGGTAGAGATCAAGGATTGAATGAGGAGCAGCCTGGAGAACAGTGAGGCGTGACGCTAGAGAATGGCTCGATGCTGTTTTATTTAAATTAAATATAGTTTGTGGGATTTGTTTACTTAAATTACTAGAATGTTGAATGTTGTTTTAAAGGCTTCCGCAACGTTTGTTTTATTTCCTCCAATTAAACGATGAATTGTTTTTAAATAAATATGAACGTTTGTTTTATTTTTAAATGTTTTAAAATATTATGCATGTGAATACCAAATTAGTAGCAACCTGACTCGCTAACTCTTTGGTTCGAGTTACGCGGGTTTTGGTGTTACATTTTGGTATCGGAGCATGTGGTTTTAAAAACGGTTTTCGGAAGAAAAAAACAAAACAAAGCAAAATATGAATTTATTTTCAAAAAACATTGTTTATTAAAAAAAGAGAAGGAAGGGCATCAACAGCCTCGCGACGTCACTGCTCCAGGAGGTAACTCTGAGTTCTTATTATGTGCTTATGTGAAACTTGCTATCTTGATTGTTACTTGATTTTTTTGTTTCATGTGGTTTATGAAAAAAAATTCATGTGTTAAAAAAAAGACTCATCAAAAGGATATTAAAAAGAAATTAAGAAAAAAAATCTGGTTATGAAAAGGAAAAAAATGTAAATAATCTAGAAAGTGAATCATGACAAAAAAATAAGCCATAAATTTACAATTATTTATGACGACTAGTGTGATCATGTTACAAAAAAATCCACGTCACGTGCTGAACAAGTGCGTAGTCAACTAAAAAAAGTGTCTTGTTTTCTAACCAATCATTCTTGAGCTGGATTGCAAAAAAAAAAAAAGATTAGGTGAAAATTTGACTTTTCACAAAAAAATGACAAAAAAAAAACTATACAATAAAAAAATATAGTTTCCTAAATGAGCATATTGTATCAAGAATTACCTTTTATAAAAAGATGACAAATGACAAAGGAGATTCTAAAAGTTAATTTGTTAAATAGAATTCACCCTAAACAGGACTAAAAACATTGAGAAAAGTACTAAAATAGGACTTACATGTTTTTTTCCCGAAATAGGACTTTGCACTGTGGTAATGTGACTTTGTCATGTTGTAATGTAGCAGTGTACATGTGCAAATTACTATACTTTTTTGTAATGTATATGACCACGTATGATAATGTAAGTCCTATTTTAGGAATAAAAATATGGAAGTCCTATTTTGGTATATTTTCAATGTTTTAGTCCTACTTTGGTCTTTCTCCCTTTGTTAAACTATGTGGGCAGTTGTCCATAACGAATTTTAGAATCAAATCTGGTTTAGATTTGAACGTAAATATAGTAATAAGAGAAAAGTTAATTATGCAATAAATGTAGTTTAGTAAATGAATTGAAAAAAAGGGGTATCTAAAAATAGTTATACATTAAGATGATAAAGTATTTTATTTAATGGTTTCACTGATTACTGGAATGACAACAAAGTCTAGAAGGGGTTGCATACCTGGATGAATGAGAGTGTTTATTTCGTTGTCAGACAAAAAAAATGACAATTAGAATATTGTGAAAACAAGTAATGTGTTCATTCTAAAAAAATTAAGAATTAAAAAAAATATCATCAAGACTATCTTGTTATTTATTAAAAAATATAGCATTTTAACATTTAATGGTGCAAAGTAATTGCTTACCTTTTTATTTAAAAAAATGATGAGTTATACCCGTAAGGCTTATTTCTAATCTATTTTAGAGGTCTTCTAGATAGTATTAGAAACCAACATCAATATGGATATATCTTAGAGTTCTTCAAGATATCCTTAATAATCATCATTAATTTCAAAATGGGTTATATCCTAGAGTTCTTCTAGATATCCATAACATTACAAATCATTTATAATCATCAATGTATTCATTTTAGTCATAGTTCAATCATTAACAATAATCATTTTAATCAGTAGGTTCATCATTCATAATCATCCATAATAATCATTCATCATAATTCTCAAGCAACATAACATTCAACAGCAAATAGCGGCCTAGTTTCGAGTGTTAACACCCTAACTTACCGTCATGCATCAAACAAAGTTCTTGTATTTATCAAAACATCTTTTTTATTTCCACAATTCATATTCATATTGGTCATAATTGGTTGGTATCAAAAATAGGATTTAATAGTTCAGAAATGTGAGGAACACATCCAGTATGGATTGTTGCAGTCCACCTAGTGCTCCTCCTTCTTGTCCTCACTGTCATCGCCGACATCCTGGCGAGTGTTGGTACGCCACGAGAGCATGTCTAGGATGCGGATAGAAGGGTCACTTCAAGCAGAACTGCCCCACCAACCCGCTTACCTCAGCACCAAACACCTCAGTGACGTCTGTCAACCAAACGAACCAAGATAGAGGAAAACAGAAAGTGCGACCATCTACCAATCAAGGGTCAAGGGTAGCTTCTCAGCTTCTGCACGAACTTATGCCATGAGGTCACGAGAAGACGACCCAATCAATATCGAAGGCCCTATGCATTTTTATATTTTTAGGCTCTAAAGTTAAAATTTATGGAGTATATTTTGTACTTTCTATGAAAATGAAGAAGTATATTTTTATTCTTATTTCATTACATACATTATAACTTGAATTTATAGACTTAAAAAGTCCAATTTCCATCAAAAGTTTAAAGTAGCTCTATTATTATTGGTAAATATTTAAATTAAAATTGTTAGCTAAAAGACATGAAAGAAGAAAGAACCAATAGAATATAGTGAAATTTGTAATGAATAGGACTAAAACATAAGTCATTTCTCAATGTAGGACTTAAACTTTTTTATTCCCTAAATAGGACTTAATAATAACTAGTGAGAAAATAATGTCCAAGTGATGCTAGACATTTAGTTGAATAATGACTAATAGATAATGACCAATGGTCCTACATTGAAAAAATAAAAACATATGGTTCTATATTAAGAAAGTCATTATGTTTAAGTCCTATTTAGGTAAATTACCCTAGAATTAACTAGTTTGAATGGAATAATTCTGAAAAATAGCAAATACATGTAAAACGAAAAATAATAATAACTTATAGAAAATAAAAGTGAGGATAACTTGGTTACAAGGTTAATTTCAAATATCATTCTTCCTCTAAAAAACATAATCCATCCTTTCTGTAGAATTTTTCCAACACTTATTAATACGAAGATTAAGATTTTATGTGGTTAAAAAAATACCAACAACAGAATATTTCAATAAAAAGGCAACTTAAAACATTTTGTGGGAGTGAATATAAAAACAACTAACTATTTTAATACGCCTTACTTCATAATTTAATTTGTCCATTACTATTTACTTCAGAATATACTTGATTGAAATTATTTTTACATCAGTTTATTTGAAAACTATGTTAAATTAAAAATTAAAAGTTATTTACTTTAAAAATATATAAAAAATTCTACGAATCAAGATGTGATATGCCTATATTATTTTACTAAATTAATAAAAAATAAGAAAAAAATAAAATTCATCATGTGAATAATAAACATGCAATTTAAATTAAGGAGGAAGTATAATGAAAGCAAAATAAAATATGGGCCCCTTGTAATTGGGGCCCCTGTGCTATTGCACCTCAAGAACACCCTCATGGGCGGGTCTGCTAATTTTAATAAAAATAAGTAATAAGCACAAAAATTAAATTTCAATGCTGCCTTAGTATTGTACAAAATTTTGTTTGACATATTAAATGAATTGTGCCCCTATAAAATACTCCCTCCATCCTATATTAGATGTCACACTCCAAACAATGCATAAAATCTCATCATTTTAAAAATTATTTTAATTATAAATTAGTATAAAAACAAAAGGTATAAATTCTATCGTTTAAAAATACACAAAACTCTATAAAAAAGAGGTGACAAGAATATTTTATTTTATAAAATTATCAATGAAAATATACTAAAATTATAGAGAGGCAGTAATAGTGACACCGGTATCCATTTCAAGATGGAGGTGATACACTTTGAAAATAGTTGGTCTTATTGAATAATGAAAGAATTCTTCATATGTATAGGGATTACAAGAGAGAGTTCTAATCATAGTAGAAGAAGAGTTTTAATAACAATACAATTTGAAAATAATAAATAAGGAAGGAAGTTAAATATAATATTTATTTCATATTACTCTCTCCGTCCCAGTGTATTTGAGCTTGAATTAAATAAAAACTATAATGTATTTTAACATAGAAATGACTATTGGATTTATCGTATTGAGATCTTTCAAAATTGTATTTTATTATGCTAATATGCAATACAAATTGAGAGTAATTAGAGTTCAAAGTTTGTCCAGTTTAATTCAAAAAAAGTCAAACTGGACAAATACACTGGGACGAAGATAATATATAATATTCCTAATAGGAGGGAGTATAAAAAGAAAAGTGACACTTAAAAAAGATGAGTACTCCGTTGTAGATCAAATTTATACTTTCAACCAATTACAAAGACGTGGCGGGGAACAAGTTGTGACGCAACCCTGTTGTGAATAGCAAACCCGATCTTTCAAAAACAAAGTTATGGGCACTAGGGATTGATACATTACTATACACGACCCGGCCCGTTGGATCCTGTTAAAGAACTCCATGGTTTCTGGTACTAGGACACTATATATATGGAAAACAAATGGAATAAACACAGTTTTCTAAACAAGAATATTGTTTGTTAAAAGCACATTTAACTGCTCGTAAAACAAGACTACACAAGTGTTACATTAGGTGGGAAAACAGCCTAAAACAGAGGTCATTAGCGGCACAAAACTGAATGAAGGGAGAATTGCAACTTTATTATGTATCTCCAGCACTTTATTGTAGAACACTTCAAGATAATTAAAGATGTCCTAGCTAGCTAATAGCTATTAGAGCTTGGGTGCTTTAATGTAGCCCACATGTGTGGAGTTTTCAACCTTAGCCACTGTCAGAAGATCATAAGCTATGGAACACTTTGATGTCTCCTTGTTGTAAAAATAACCACTGCACTTGCAATCACTTGAGCATTTCTTCCCACAGTCCACCTCTTTCATTTTCACACTTTCATCATACTTACTTGAGGAATGATCAACCCCTTCCAATTTATAGTAATAGAACTTGCTCGAACCGCAAGCGGGCAGCGTCACTGGCTCGCATTTCTTGCTCCAACCCATCAGCCCGCTCGGCAACGGGCACGCGACGCATTGGCTGTCCTCACAAACTCCAAACTTGCCACATCTCTGTGGCAAGTCGCACTCGCTCCCCGGGAAACCATCCCTGGCGAAGTGAGCATAGATCTCGTCGAACGCCTTGTAGTCAACCTTGTTGTTGTAAGAGAACATCTTAAGGTTCCCGTCGATTCCAAGTCTTAGATACGAGTACGTCGCATTGAGCTTTGGCCTCGCCGAAACCGCCCAACCTCCATAAGACAGTTCCAAATTCACCTCACTAGCCGATTCGTCGTAGGCATCTAGGTTTCGCGTTAGCGTCGCGTTTCGCAGAGGCTCGCTTCGGCGTTCCTCCCACGAGTAGTACCGATACGGTTTAGGCGAATTGGGACTCTTATAGTACAAAGCCACTCCTCGGGGCTCCATGACGAAGCTATACGGACCATTTACGTTCTCCGTGACGGAGGCTCGGCTAACGAGCTTGGAAACGCCGCCAACGCGAAGAGACTGACCGACCAAGAGGGTATCGGTCGGGGAATCAAAGATTTGCCAGACGAAGTTGCCCCTGGAGTCATGAAGAACCATGTTACCATCGGGCAACAGCCGGAACCCGACAACGCCTTTGCTGGCGGTGTCGGTTTGCCAGACAACATCGCCGTCGGCCTCGGCTAAGACGAGGTTTCCGTCCGGTCCCAAGGCGAGGGTGGCGTTCTCGCGGACGGGTTTGCCGCGGTTGGCTTCCCAAACCCATCGCCTTGTGGACTCGGACCTCCGGGTGCCGAGGAGTAAAGCGAGGGTGTAGGCATTGGGGGTGGTGTTGTAGAACATGAGTTGGAATGGGGATGTGAAGATGTCCAGGGGACGGTAATCTGGGCCGTACTCGGTGCTGTAGAAACCGAATTCTCCTTCGTTAACATACTTGAATTGTGATTTTGGGGGAACGATAGAGTGGGCAATGAAGGATGAAGCTGATAGAATGATAAGTAGGCATAGTGGGGGGAATATGTTTTTTGATTGCAGGGAGTGGAGTTCCATTTTATCCGGGACTAGATACGAGGTTGTGAACTTGTAATGCAATGATTTCTTCTTTTTATTTAGAACAGAGGAGAAGGGGTCTTATATATATATATATATAGGGATATCCTACTATATATAAAAAGAAAATAAAATAGATTATGTTGTTTCCCTCCCAAAATGGACTGCTACTGTCCAAACACCTCCTGCCCAATAACATAGTAACACAACCTCATACAGCTGGATTGTATACATTCAATGTATTCAAGGCTCTGGTCCAATGCACTTCCCTATATAATAAGCTTTACATTATCATCTATGGTCTATCTCTATTCAACAAAGAAAAATGCTAGAATATATCATACAAGCAGTGTTGTTCATCAACCATTAAGTTCTGAATATACTACACCCTCTTCTTCCTTGCCATCTACCTCTGTTCAATTTCCTTTGCCCTTCAATAAGATCTATAGATTAGTGCAGAATTCAAATACCACTTCTTCAACCCTATAAATAAAAGATCAATCATTCAACATACATACAACTTCAGCCAAATTCAGGTTATACAAAAATTACATCATGTGTACTTTCCTTCCACATCTCCAATGCAAACAAACCAAGCGAAGAAGATGAAATTGATTAAAGTTGTATAGAGTTCACTTTGAAGCTAATATTTGAGATGCTTTGTTTGCAACTTTCATGTTAAGAACTGGAGTGCACTGGAATATTTTTTTCTTCTTTTTTTGGCAGAACCAAGAAGTGATTTGTATTCAGTGCATTCAATGCTTATAGTTAACTCTTAACATTCAGTGTATTCAAGGCTTTCTTCATATGCTCTTCCCTATATTTGGGTCACAAGCTATTCCCTATTTAATGGAAAGCATTTCCCAATTTCACATTATCTCCTCTACCTATATTCAACTAGAGAAAAATGCTTTCAAACTTTTATATGATAAAAAATAGTTTAAAAGCATCCACCAGCTCCCAAAAATGCCAAAACAGTTTTTTTATGTTATCATATAACTTTGTTAAAGTATTCTAATACACTTCATTATTACACTACAAGCAATGTATTAATTCTATATATTATTCAAAAGTTGGTTTGTAAATTCTTTTGTTGATAAATTTCTAAGCAGTAATTAAGTATTTTCTTCTACTTAATTGAAAGAATTAAGTTATTATTTTATACGGAGTATCGTTCAAAATATGCACACATACACATTGTATTTTCTGTCCTACCAAAATTATAGTGAATGAGCTGGTCGTCCCATATTTTTATGGTTCCTATTAAGTTTGAATATTTTTTTTATTTGCAAAAGTCTAACTAAATTTAGGTAGTTCCCATCTCCTCTTAAGTTAATAATAATAAAGTTAATATAAATTGATAATAATAATAATAATATAAGTTTGTAGAATATTAAAAAAATTGAATTTAATAGTACAAAGATAACATTTTTATATAGTACACAAATTAAATTTGAAAAAGTTTAAAGATGTCATTTTTAAACAGTAAGATTTATAATCAAAAGGCTATAATTAAAAATATGCTTTACTAAAACAATCATGGTTGGGTCTGTTTAGGGTTCAGCAGAGGGAAAAGCACTAAAACAAAATTCTTAAAAATTAATTAAATTTAATACCACGATTAAAAAGTAATTTTCGAACACAAACCGAAAAAATACAGAACAGAGAAATTAGTGCAGGCAATACGCTCCCTGATCCTATAGCCGATTAATCGCTTCAAATTCAAATTAAGAAAACCATTAAGAACAAAAAAAAACATCGCAAGCAGAATCATATCCCAGCAGCAAAGCAAAGATCCGGTATGAACGTACCAGTTTGTTGACCTCACACCGATGGCGCGTTTGAAGATGTTCCAGATCTTAATGGAAAATGGAAAAAAATATATTAAATCAAAACAAAACGTATAATCATCCAAACAATCCATTGACTAAAAATATCAATAGCACATAAGGCCATTTATGCACCGACAAGAAGAATCGGCGTATAAGGAAATCGAAGACAAAGAGATGGAGACGCAGAGATAGAAGAATATGAGAGAAAGAGATGAAGACGTAGGCAAGAAATTAGATGGTCGAAGTGGCGGAAATAAGGTATTAGGTTTTGGAGATTTTTTATATTTACAAGTATGGGCCGGAATAAAACTTTGGGCCTGAAAAAAAATTGAGCATGCAAATTTATACTCCGTATTTATTATCTCCATTCATTGAGTTTTTATCCAAATTTCACTTTTTTAGCCAACTAATTTTTATCTTTGACTTATAATAATTAAATAAAATATATATTGTATATTAAGTATATAACATATTTTCTCCGTCCCCAATTTGATTACAAATTGTGGGTTACGGAGTAAAATTTCCTATTTTTTGAAAACATTTTTACCAATTTTGTTATTATTAAAAGAATAAAAAAAACTTAAAACCGGATTAATTATTTCATCAACATTTTTCTTAGTTATAACAAATAGGGCATTATTGATGGTATAAATTAGTAGCGTAAATCAGTTTTATCTAAACACATCATTGTTAATGACAATTTCACACACAATTAATTACATATTTATCTCATTAATAAGTAAATTATAAAAAAATTGTATAGTAATGTATTTTTCCAATTCAATTCTAAAAACATTCTAATTTTATGTGGTTCTTAATAATTGAGATTTATTTCTCATGCAGTCATTCATATATAATATTATGCAAATGGTGATCAATTAAAAGATATTATGACATTTCTATCGTCTAAATTTAAATTATATTCTCAAAATGATCATTTCTATATAATTAAAAATAAAATTTAAACAATACATTAAATATACATAATTCAAAAATAATTAAAAGCCTATAATTTAGATGAAGCTTAATTGAGGAGAGAGAAAAGTATGCATATACAATTTTAGATTAAGCAATGCATTATTTAAAAGTATGCATTATAAAAAGAAAAGTATGCATTTAAGATCCCTTTCTTTTCTGAACTACATTATTTACAAATACTACGTATTGAATAAATCTCAATTATAAAAGATCACGTAAGTAATTAAAAATTATATATTACTAATTTAGAAAAACATGTTATTAGTGAAAACTCTTTTGGAAATCCATTCTTAAGTGTACCATTTCTACGTCCTGAAATCAAACATTATACAAATTAAATAACTAAATACTTTGCAAGTGCTTTGTATGAAACATAAAATTAATCAAATGTTTTAGATATTTCGCAGTAAAAGAATTCTCCACCTTAAAAAGATATAGTAAAAGAAAAGTAAAATAGTAATTTCATTATTTTCTAATTTTATCGAAAAGTGGAATTTTTTACGCCCTTCAATCTTCGTAGTTGTTAGAGAGTCGGAAGTCACCAAACAATTTGTTGTTGTTGGATGATCATGGATGTTCACTTTACTCTTATATTTGAAGTATGTTGCAATGGTCAATTTTTTTTTTTTGAAAAAAACATGTCATTTGTAATATATTAATAATAATACGAGTATTTTAGTATCATTTAATTCATTTTCTGCTTATCAATAATATATTATGTAGGAATATTATCTTTGTTTTGGAATTTCTTAAGGTATATAGAAGGAAATTATTTTCCTTATGATTTAAACTCTTACTTAAATTTTAATTTTTTATGAGAAATATAATAATAAAATGCTCCCCGTGCATCGCACGGGTAAGATGCTAGTTCTTATTATGGATAAACAAAGTTAGGAGTACATACATACGGAGTATATGGCAACTGGTCAACGAAGAACACACTACGGCCAGCAGTATAATGAAGGACGCACAAGTGGGCGGCCGGCAAACAGGAAAATTTGAAACACCCCATTAATTGCAATCCATCGAGGCATTGGCCCGACCGCTTTCTTTCGTCCACCGACCACCGTTCACCAATAAGGCTCTATTCTGTTCAACTTATTTTTTTCTTATCTCATCTGATTTAATAAGTTCTGATCTGATCTGATTGGATCTGATCTGATCTGATTTGATTGAATCTGATCTGATCTGATTGAATCTGAATTGATCTGATTGAATCTGATCTGATCTGATCGGATCTGATTAATTATGATTTGATTTAAAATTGAAATCAATAATTTGATTTGACTTTATAATAACGTTTGAAAATTGTAATGATACTTCATATTATAATATAATCAATATTTTTTATTTTATGATTATTTTTTAATAAAATAAAATTAGTTAATTCATATATTAGAATATTCATATTATAATATAATCAATATTTTTTATTTTATGATTATTTTTTAATAAAATAAAATTAGTTAATTCATATATTAGAATAATCATTCATATTATAATGTAATAATATTTTTTATTTTATGATTATTTTTTTGTGAAATTAGAATATTAATTTGATATTTTAATAATTACTTCATATATACATTAGAATAAATATTTAATTTATATATACATTAAAAAGTAACTAAATTTAGATAATCAATATATAGAAGAGATAGTATTTTTATTAAAATATTTCATCCTTATAAAAGATCAAAACTTTAGAAACTCAAATTACAAGTACCAATAAAAATGTATTTTAAAAGTAGAATTAGATTGACATTGTCAATGCATTTTAAAAATAATTTTTCTGATGTTTAATAATTAAGGATTACTTTCTCATTTTTCTATTTAACTTATTTCTAAAGTTTGATCATTTTCTTTTTTAAGAATAATAATAATAATAATAATAATAATAATAATAATAATAATAATAATAATAATAATAATAATAATAATTCTTGATGGGATCTGATCTGATTTGATCTGGTCTGGTCTGATCTGATTGGATCTGATCTGATCTGATTTGATCTGATCTGATCTATTCTAGTCTGATATGATTTTAATAAGAATAAGAAAAAATAAGAAAAAATAAGTTGAACGGAACGGGGCCTAAGGGGTTACTATTGACTTATTTTCTATATATGAAAAATGGAATAAAATTTAAAAATAAAAATTACATATTAAAAAACTATACTATATTATTTTCTCAAGTGAGTGATGAAAATTGACCAACAAAGTAAATAAAGTTTGACCCTGTGAATAGTGAACATAAAGTTTATTTCTGGACGGAGAAGTAGTAAATCGTAAATTTTTTAAGTTTGTTTGGTGCACGGAATTGAGAGAATTGAAAATGAATTGAAAGTTGAAATTCTATATAATTGAAAAATTCCAATTCATTTTTGTCACTATCAATTTCAAATCCACATATTTTTGTGCTACCAAACAGTAAAATTGAAATTGTTGTCTCTAATTCCAATTCCATAATTTGAATTATTTGTACCAAACGGAGCCTTAGTCATACATTCATTAAATACTCATTTTACAATTTTTTTGTTATTTATTTAAAAGATTTGCATTAAAAATGTATGTTTGTACATTTAAGAATGAAAAAAAATATACACCATTATTAGTGAAATTTGTATTAAATAGTAAGAAAAATTATCCAAAATAATCTCAACTTTACCCGGTCTTTCAAAAATAGTCCAACATTTTACTGTGATGCATAAGAATCTCAACTTTACTGAAATTTGTGAATTTTGGGTCGCCGTTAAGTTACTAACGGCAAGTTAATGGAAACACCTGTTTTGCGCAACAAAATGAATGTTGAGATTATTTTCGATGATTATTTTTTATTTTTTTAAATTTTAATTTAAATTTTTAAAATTACTTTCTACCACCATCATTTCTAGTTTTTTAAAGATTAGTCTAGCTTTGGAAAAAAATGAAAATAGATATAAAAAATAATGAAAAATGAGAAAAAATAACTAAAATCATACAAAATTAATGAACACAAAAGTAATCAATAGAAATTAATTGGAAACATATAAGAAATAAAATAAAAATATACGGTGTGGGGAGTTTTAAGATTTTACACACTCTAGAGAGCATTAATGTAACACTTCTTCTTATTTTTAGAAAAAATTATCTAGAAGAATCTTAACTTTACTCATTTTTTCAAAAAATAAGTAGTACATTAATACTTTGCATAGTGCCATGCATTAAATATTATAGCACTCAACTCGTTGTATTTTTATTTTGTTTCGTATCAATTTCAGTTTAGTTTTTATTGATTACCTTATTTATTTCATTAATTTTGTATGATTTTAGTTATTTTTCTCACTTTTGATATTTTTATATTTATTTTTTATTTTTATAAGATAAGGCTAATCTTTAAAAAAGGAAAAAGAAATTAAAGTAGAAAGTTATATTAAAAACTTACATAAAAAATTTAAACAAAAAATTTAAAACAAAAATTAATCAAAAATAATTCCAACTTTCATATTTTTGCAAAAAATAGGTCGTTCTGTTAACTCTCCGTTAACAGTTTAACGACGGCGCAAAACTCGCAAATTTTAGTAAAGTTGAGATTATTATGTATCACAGTGAAAGGTGACATTATTTTTGAAAGATAGAGTAAATGTGAGATTATTTTGAATAATTTTTCCAAAATAGTACTAAAACATATGTATTTTCTCAATGTAGAATCTAAACTTTTTATTTTCTAAATAGCACTTGTACAGTATCCTGTGACCGAACAATTTCCTACGCCAGTGGATATTTACTTTGAACAATATGGTGGTGGACATTTACTTGAACAATGTCCGGTGGATATTGAAACTATATGGGTCCGTTTGGTACACAGAATTGATGGAATTGGAATTGAATTGAGAGTTGAAATTCTATGAAATTTATTTGGATGGAATTGAATTCGCCAATTCCAATTCATTTTTTGTACTACATATTCAAAATCCACATATTTTTGTGCTACCAAACAACAGAATTAGAATAACTATTCTTAATTTTAATTTCATTATTTGATTTTCGTGCATCAAACAGGACTATATGCAAATTCTCCTTTTTATTATGACATGACAAATTTTCATTGTTTACTCCTACTTGATCCCCTGACCCGTCGGTTTTTTTTTTCTTTTTTTACATTAGTGGAGAATTGGTCCGCCATTTTTTTCTCTTTTTTAAACTTTTGAATAGCTGGAAATTTTTAAAATAGCAACATGTCCATCAGCTCGTTTTTATATTTAACGTTTTTCTTTTTTAGATTAGATAATGGTGTGCTGGTTTGCCGCCTTGCCGGTATTCAGTCTTTTCCCTATTTTTTACACTTTAGAAGCGAGAGAGATAAGACGGCAATCAAGTTTTGATACACCCTCCGTCCGGAAATGTTTTTCAATTTGACTTTTTACGGTTTCCAAATTTGCACTTTGACTATTAATATTTTTATTTGTACATGAATATATTTTATAAAAATTTGATATTTGAAACAAAATGAATATATTCATATTAAAGGTATATCGTAATACATTGTATTTTTTCTACATGTCATAGTCAAAGTTTATAAACTTTGACCAAGAAAAGTCAAATGAGAAGAATATTTCCGGACGGAGGGACTATCAATTTTTTCCTTTTTAAACAATTCGAAGAGCATAGACAACATTGTTAGTTTTCATATTGATATAGTTTTGTTTTAAAAAATTAATGTGTAGAATTTACGGAATGAATTGTTTGGTTTTCCATTGATATGTCAACCGTATGTATAGTACATCAAGTTACCAAACCATACAAGTACAAGAAAATAAACTCCTACATGGAAACTATGTACAATAATACAATTGATGGATTAGGGATTTTTCCTGATCCAATATTATTTGAACAGTACAAGAAAGTCCAATTTTATCTGGCCCAAGATATAAATCGGATAAATTATTCAAGACAGAACCAGAGATATATGGACAGAAGAATATATTTAAAGTGATGTGGAGACATTTGGCGGGACCCGTGGAACACTATCACATGGAAACCACATGCCGCACATGGGCTTCACATGGACAATGTCCCTTCTTGTCTCCATCAATTATTTCATTCTTCCCTTTAAATGCAGGCTACGAATGAGGGAGGAGGGAGGCCAATTTCCTACTAGTTCTACTATTATTCTTCATTCTTCTCCTTCTCTTCGCTTGGAGCTCCATTAATGGCTCCAAGCTCCTACAGTGATGTATATGTAAATTCCCCCGAGATTAATAAAAGTTCCTCCCCCTTTGGCATGACACCGCCTAAAAAGGCCTGTGGTTTTCTTCCGATTTGGGTTTCCACATATAAATACTTTCTCTCCGCTTTATTTATTTATTTAATTTCCGGATTTCGCTATTCGGTGCGGTGCCAACCCGGTATCGATTTCATCGGGTCGACGCCCCAAAAAAAACGGTTTCTGTAAGTTCGTGGGGGGTGCAGCGGATAACAGCAAACACAAGCTATGCAAACAAAACAATCAACTATGTTGTAGAGAAGACGCTGCAACACTGTCCAGTAACAGATGACGGACAGTGTGCTATAACACTTCTCTGTCACAAGCACACACGCAAAATATGAAGTAAAAACAGCAAGCAAGACACCAGAATTGTTCACGCAGTTCGGAGCAAATTCTCCTACGTCTGCAAGGCCCACGTCCGTGTAATAGCCCTTCCACTAAATCACCGTAAGAATTACACAATCAATCACAACAGAACCTTCTAATGTATTGATTTGTCTACTTACGAATGACTTGACGACAAACTCGGTTTGCGTCTATCTCCACGGCTTGTTACACCTTCTCAAAGATCTTCTTCAAGGACGTAGATTCCAATCGACCTTCAAATAAAGATTCTTCTTGATCTACAAAAAATATGCAGGATGTTCAGAAGCTCATAACTCGAGATTGAACCGTTGAAATTTGATCTCCACCGTTCAGATTGAAGCTCCACGAGTCCTTAGACTCCTCCTAAAATTTCAGCACGATCAGACAAGATTTGGTACTCCAACCAACAAGAAAACCAGGGTTGCGTTTTCTGCAAAAAAATCAGTAACAATGTGTAGATTGTAACTTTGATAACAGAAGATCCGTAACTCCGATTAACGTGAAATTTTAACAAGTTGAAGCTCTATGTGTTGAGAACACCCTCTGAAAATTTCAGCAAAATCCAACGGTCGGATCTCCGGCAATGATCAAATCTGTGCGGGCTGTCCAGAGAATTTACAGTCTCAAAATCTGCACCTTGTGTTTTTCTTTTGATCGAATTTGCTCCTGGTTTTTCGTAGTTTTGCACACTCAAAACTCTAAGGGAGGGTGAAGATATTAATAGAATCAAATAGCCATGTTAGAGTGTGCTTAGGATTCTCAACCATGGTCTCCTCCTTATGAATTGTAAACCAAGTAGGATTAGAATCCAAGTAGGACTAGAATTCTCTCTTCAAGCTCTTTTCTCTTCTTCTTCCTTCACATGCGAGGACTCTAAGTCTAAATAAAATATCTAAAATAATTCTAGATAAATCTATTCGTTTGTCAAAAAATAATGCCAACACAATATGGAACTAACAGTTTCCATCACTGGCGCCATCCGTGGGACCCGTCACAAAAAGCTTTTGTGCTCCGAGTCCGTAATGGAGAAAAAAAAGTGGGTTGAGAAAGTAAAAAAAGACAAAACAAAAAAGAGGGAGAGAGAGAGGTTGAAGGGAAAAGGGCAGAAGAGAAAAAACAAACTCCCTACTCTTCTGCATCATGTTGATTGACCGCCCAGATCTGGAGAAGCCATTTTGAGACATTGGACAACGGCGGGTCCTTTTCGGCGAGCCTTCCAGTGTGGCTCACTTCCGGAGAGAAGTGGGGAGCTCCTTCTGGCCTTGGGCGACCATGGAGAGCAGCCACCAGCCCTCGGCAGAGCCACCTTCTCGACGGACGGCAACGGCGGGCCTCCGCCGAGCTCCACTTCTTCCGGCAAGACACGGACATCTGCGGTGGCCATCCGACGAGCTCCCACTTATTCAGGCGAGCCACGGACAGCAGCGGCGGCCCTCCGACGAGCTCCCACTTCCTCTGGCGGTCCTCTCTATCGGTCCGGTCATCCCCGACAAACCTCTCCGGCGAGCCACTCTTTCCGTCGGTCCACAACCAGGTCCAACGAGCCTCCTCCTTCCTCCGGCAAACCATGAAGAACAGCGGGATCTTCTCGGTGGATGGCGAGCTAGAGTCCGGACCACCAGCGAGTTAGTGTGAAGAACAATGGGGATCTTCCCGGCGAGCACGCGGTAGGGCTGCCGGCAATACCCTCCACCAGGGTCGGTGAGTATCCTCCCAGACTGGCGAGCCCTCTAGCGTGCTTCATCTCTGGCGGTATCTAACGGCGAGCCATACCACTAGCAATTGTCCACTCCGGCGAACCTTGGCTTGTAAGAAGCAAGCTCCCACTTCCTCCGGCGAGCCACGGATAGCAGCGGCAGCCTTACGACGAGCTCCCACTTTTTCCGGCGAGCCGCGGATGGCAGCGGCCGCGATTGCTCTTGTTCGTCCATCAAGCTCCCTTTGCTCCGGCGAGCCTCATCAACAACAAGCGGGTCTTCATCTTCGACGAGATCTAGTCATCTAGCGAGCTCCGATTTCCTCCGCCGAACCATGGACAGAAGTGGCGGGCCCCTCTCTGCGGTCCTCTCCGGCGGTCCTTTCCGCAGGTCCTCTCCAGCGGTCCTCTCCGGCGGTCCTTTCCGCGGTCCTCTCCGGCGGTCCTCTCCGCGGTCCTCTCCGGCGGTCCTTTCCGCGGTCCTCTCCGGCAGTCCTCTCCGCGGTCCTCTCTAGTGGTCCTCTCCGCGGTCCTCTCCGGCGGTCCTCTCCGCAGTCCTCTTCGGCGGTCCTCTCCGGCAGTCCTCTCCGCGGTCCTTTCCGACGGTCCTCTCCGTGGTCCTCTCCATCAGTCCTTTACGCGGTCCTCTTTAGCAAGCCATGGATGGATTTATCCTCAAGAGGACCGGTCCAGCTTTAGAGGTCCCAAAAGTGGACCGCTCTATCTTCATAGGTCCTTTACATGGACAGATTTGGCCTCCAGTGGACCGCTCCAACTTCATGAGTCCCTCAGATGGACGGATTTGGCCTTCAGTGGACGGCTCCATCTTCATGGGTCCTTCACATGGACAGATTTGGCCTCCAGTGGACCGCTCCATCTTCATAGGTCCTTCACATGAACGGATTTGGCCTCCAGTGGACTGCTCCATCTTCATAGGTCCTTCACATGGACGGATTTAGCCTCCAGTGGACCGCTCCATCTTCATAGGTCCTTCACATGGACAGATTTGGCCTCTAGTGGACCGCTCTATCTTCATGGGTCCCTCAAATGGACGGATTTTGCCTCAAGTGGACCGTTCCATCCTCATGGCCCCTTCACATGGACGGATTTGGCCTCCAGTGGACCGCTCCAACTTCATGGGTCCCTCAAATGGACGGATCAAGCCTCAGGTGATCCGTTCCGAGTTGTATAAGTTGATAAAAGTAATAATGTAAAAGAATAGAAGGCAGAAGTCAGTAATTAGATCAAGTTAGGTGATCGGATTACTGGAGAATATAAAGCAGAGGTCAGTAATTAGATCGAGTTAAGTGATCGAATTACTGGAGATAGTCATAGACTCCCGTACCGAGGTTGAGGAAAGATAGGATAAGGAAAAGGATTGGGGCTTAAGGATGGGCTGAAGCCCAGCCCATTAAGAACAAGCTACCCAAAAGGAAAGAATCCTATAAAGAGATTAGAGTAGGCCCCCCCTCAATTGGAGGGACAGGGACGAAGAGAAAGGTGGACGGAGATTGTCTATAATTCAATAAGAGCGGAGCGCCCAACCACCGTCAGATAGATATCAGGTGAGGGTTTAGAGGCTCCCAAAGAATATTGAAGAAAGAGCCCCGAGAAAAGCCCTCTTCCCAGAGGCAACGAATCCTCGAGAAAAGTCCTCTTCCAAGGGGTACCGAGCTCCGAGAAAAGTCCTCTTCCCCGAGGCACCAAATCATCTTCCGAAGAGGCACAAGGTCCCAAGAAAGTCCTCTTCTAAAGAGGCACAAAGTCCCGAGAAAGTCCTCTTCCTAAGAGGCACAAAGTCCCGAGAGAGTCCTCTTCCAAAGAGGCACAAAGTCCCGAGAAAGTCCTCTTGCAAAGAGGCACAAAGTCCCGAGAAGGTCCTCTTCTAAAGAGGCACAAAGTCCCGAGAAAGTCCTCTTCCAAAGAGGCACAAAGTCCCGAGAAAGTCCTCTTCCAAAGAGGCACAAAGTCCCGAGAAAGTTCTCTTTCGAGAGACAATAAGTTAAGTCCTTACCCACGAGGTAACGAGACCCTCCAAAAAAAGGTCCTCTTCCCAAGGTTCCAAGAAAAGTTTTATCCCATGAGGCAACCCACTGAGTCATAGTTTTGAATCTATCTCGTTCCCCGAGACAGACTCAAAACTAGGGGGGCATGTGATGGATTAGGGATTTTTCCTGATCCAATATTATTTGAACAGTACAAGAAAACCCAATTTTATCTGGCCCAAGATATAAATCGGATAAATTATTCAAGACAGAACCAGAGATATATGGACAGAAGAATATATTTGAATTGATGTGGAGACATTTGGCGGGACCCGTGGAACACTATCACATGGAAACCACATGCCGCACATGGGTTCACATGGACAATGTCCCCTCTTGTCTCCATCAATTATTTCCTTCTCCCCTTTAAATGCAGGCTACGAAGGAGGGAGGAGGGAGGCCAATTTCCTACTAGTTCTACTATTATTCTTCATTCTTCTCCTTCTCTTAGCTTGGAGCTCCATTAATGGCTCCAAGCTCCTACAGTGATGTATATGTAAATTCCCCCGAGATTAATAAAAGTTCCTCCCCCTTTGGCATGGCACCGCCTAAAAAGGCCCGTGGTTTTCTCCCGATTTGGGTTTTCACGTATAAATACTTTCTCTCCGCTTTATTTATTTATTTAATTTCCGGATTTCGCTATTCGGTGCGGTGCTGACCCGGTACCGATTTCATCAGGTCGACGCCCCGAAAAAGCGGTTTCCATCAACAATATTCCATAACATTCTCCAATACTCCCCCTCAAGTTGAAATATGAAGATAAAAATATCCAATTTGGACAATAAACAATGAAATAGCGGAGCAGAGAGAGTCTTGGTGAAGATATCTGCAATGTGTAGACGTGTAGGCTGTAACAACATGTTGTCGCTGAATATGCTTTGAATGTCCATGAAATACTCGATTAGCAGCAATGAATAGAGCAGACTTATTGTCGCGGTAAAATTTAGGAGTAGTAAATAAGCCGGCCATAGGAGACA